TTGAACATTGCTAGACACTGTTTGCACAACTGATCCCAGTCAGAAAAGAATTATTTCTTTCATTTATAAAGCCATGGACAGGGCGGTTTTCCCCCAGCGAACAAAAGAATTGTGGGAAAGAGACCTAGGGTTTACGGTGGATGAAGGCCAGTGGGGCAACATTCTTGCAACGGTTCACAACTCTTCTATTTGTGCCCGTCATGGGCTGATCCAATGTAAACTCTTGCATAGAGTTTACTACACTAACCATAGGCTGTCTAAAATTTTCCCTAGTGTGGATGATTCCTGTAACAGATGTGGTCAGTCTCCTGCTGACTTGGTACATATGTTTTGGTCATGCCCGAAATTGACAAATTTTTGGTTTAAAATATTCAGTACATTTGAAAAGGTGTATAGTATTGAGATTACCCCACATCCCCTCTCTGCGCTTTTCGGTATCCCTTTTAAAAATGGCTTGCCGTCGGTTGCCCGACATGCCATGGCATTTTGCACGTTGCTTGCAAGACGTTTAATTCTCCTGAATTGGAAAGAGGTTTTGCCCCCTTCGTATAATCATTGGATAAAAGAAGTATTGTTTAATTTAAAATTAGAGAGGATTAGATTTTCCCTTGGAGGGTCCATGAAAAAATTTGGTGACACATGGAACCCTTTGTGGTCATTTATAGATTCTTTGGACATAACACCTGGAGAGTGCGTTACATGAGTGCTTGGTAATTAAATTAAATTAAGTTTATTTCTATCATCACCACTTTTCCATAGGGGCCCCTTTCTTTTTCTTTATATATTTTTTTTTATTTATTTATTTTATTTTATTTTTATAAAAAAAAATTTTTTTTCTTTGCTCTTGTCATTTATTTTTAAATATAATTATGTGTGCATAATATTCCTTATTATTAATTATATTTCTTCATAATTTGTTGGGGGGGGAGTGGGATTAGGGGGCAATAATGAAAAAGAAAGTCGGCATGGCTCTTTTTGTACCACCGTTGTAAATTGTATTGACGCTCAATAAAAAAAAAAAGGCACTGTAAAAGGCCTACCATTTGTGGTCTGTATTTAAATGCTAGGAGTATTAGAAATAAAATTAATGATTTAGAGGCTTTAATTTCATCGGACACTTACGACATTATAGGAATAAGTGAAACATGGATGACTGACAATGATGGTGAAGAATATACACTCACCTAAAGGATTATTAGGAACACCATACTAATACGGTGTTTGACCCCCTTTCGCCTTCAGAACTGCCTTAATTCTACGTGGCAT